TAATTAGGTTTTGAAGGGGGGGGGGGGGTAGGATGGGGCTGAAAGTTAGATGATATACAATTAACTTATTGCACTTTTTGTTTGTGTTTCAATGTATTGTCTTTTAACGGTTGGTGAGGATGCAGTGTAGGATTTGGTGGAAAAGGGTATGGTCTTTGTGGGTCAGGGGAGGGTTATCCTGACGGAAGGTGGGTGTGGAAGAGGGGGCAGCTGGTAATGGTGGCACACCAGGGAGATGAACAGTTGGAGAGGTCTGCTCAATAGAGCAGGCCGCCTGCCAACCTCCGCTGCGAGTGTGTTGACATCTGTGGCCTGCTCGGCTGGCCCATTGTTGATTACCAGATAATGCCTGAACCCTAGCCTTGTCAGTCTGGATAATGTGTCATACGTTTGTGAATATTGCAGTTTCCTTGTCTATGTAAGCAGAGTGCCTGATTGTAAACAGGTCTTTTCATTGGCAATGTGCAGGCTATTTCACATACTTTTTCCTTTTACAATGCAGTGTTAGGAAAAGAAAAGTAGGCTCTTTAAGTGAAGGGAAAGGAGCCAAGAGCTTTCTAGCTTCTTGTGGTTGGGGGGAGGATGGGTGTTAAAATTGCTAAGATGATCCAAACAATTTGTTAATCAATGTAAAGATGACAAGAAGTAACACTCTTGACTTGCTGGCAATTTGACATTTTTCATTTTCTACACTTTTAGAAATGAATACTAGGTTTTTTTAGTTAAGGAACAGGGGCCAGTCTCTCTAGCTTTTTTTTTTATAGAAAAATAGTCAACCTGTGAACTAAATGAAACTTCCATCATGTTTAAGGAGTTGATAATTTTAAAATGTAAATATATTAGTAATGGTATAAAATAATATAGACTGTCCACAACCTGACTTTTGATATTTCTGGCATTAGGGGAGGAATGCTAGAAACGTCTAAAGTTAAGTTTAATCAGCTGTTTTCATGGCCTTTAGTTGTGAAGGCATTTAGGGATGCTGAAGACAACTACATTTTTCAGGCCGCACTGACACTAAACAGTCTATATTATCAAACCTATTTTAAAAAATAATTCCTTAAAATGTGATTATTTATTATTGAGGTCCATAACCTGACTTAAGATGTGACTGCATTAGGGCATGAATGTTGTATACATCTAAAGTTAAGTTTAATCTCTCTCACATTTTTTTCATGGCCTCTAGTTGTGAAGGTATTTAGGGATGCTGGAAACAACTACATTATTCAGGCCACAGTTGCACAGAATGGTGTATATTAAAAAAAGAAAATTCCTTAAGATGCACATTAAGACTTATTAGACAATAAATTATCTTTAGGTTGTAGGACAAATATGTTCTGTATTTTGTAATTTTATTCTTAAGAAAAATATCAAAGACTATCAGAAATTGAAACAACTTTCTGAGACAGCCCCTTGTGCCCTTGGCAATGATGAGAAAAAATGCAATTTTTTGTTTGCAAGTCAAGAGTGGTTTCCAATCTTCTAGGTTTAAAAAAAAAACATTAGAGCATCATGTAAAAAGGGACACCTATAATATACTCTTACGCTGAAGCAAGTTTTAGTGCATTCCTAAAGGAAAAACAATGCCAAATAGTCTTTTGCCTTTGAACAAATGAACTGACCTTTCATAATCAGGCACTTTCATCAAAGATTTAGGAAAGATATGGCAATATTCACAACTTTATGTGATGCATTATTGACACTGACCTGTGCTAGGAATTAGGGCTAACGTCTGGTATGATACAATGGGTACAGCCGACAGGTCCACAGCTCTGTCAACACCAAGTCAGCGGAGGGGCAGGTTCCAACACATCTACTGGTAAAGCCTATACCATATAGAAACCAGCATGCCCATGTCGGGATTGGTGGGGGTGTTAAGGGTGGGATTGGGGAGGTGAGGGTTGTGTATATATGTAGTCCTCTTCTGTTATGTGTAATAAGTTAATTGTTTTTACTGGTTGTAAATAATTGAGTAGTTTTACTTGAAATCCCTCTCTATTTTTGTTGTAAGCTATATTATTTTTTCATTAAGATTTGAGGAGTCCTACTGCAAAATTAGCTAAGCCACTTTAGATCGATATTCCAGAATTTGTCTTTTTAAAAAATCATCTTGTTAGCTAAACTCAATTGTAAATAATAGCTTTTCAAACTGCTGACTTAGCAGTTTTGCAAGTGGGGCTCCTGGTTTTAAAAAAGGAATGTTTCATATTTAAATATTTTTAGATGATTTCCACAATTGTAATATATTATGAGTGTTAGTGTGAAAAGTGAATGAAAGCTAAATTCATTGTAATATTAGAATAATTCATTAAAATTGTTGTATTACTAGAGGATTTTTAGATACATTAAACACCATCTATATGTTAGACAACTGTGAAATTACTATGACAAAATAAAATAAAGTTAATTGTAATTCATTGAGTATTTATATGGATAGCATTGTTTTAAATATGAAGCATTCCTTACAGGCCTATGATGCAACAAGACAATATATTTGTTTGATAAGCAAAAACTTGTATTCATTAATCATAAGACAAACACTGAGGCCTATTGTTAAAAAAAAGTAAAAAAATGAGTCATATACCCAATTGACATGTTGTAGCAAGCTTTAAAAATACAATAAACAGTGGAGTGAATGCTCATAATTTTTGTGTTGTTGTTTTATTAAAGAACAATAAATACTTTATGATGAAATGTAATTGAACAATTCTCTATCAAGTAATATAGGTGTAGATATTTTTATAGCAAATTGAATTTTATAAGGCAATATTTAAAGTAAAGATTCTGGTATAAATTCAGAATGCCAGCTGACAAGAGGTAGTGGATGTAACTTGTCACAGGAGTGACATGCAGTGATACACTGTGATGTCTGGCTCAAGTCTTTGGTATCAAACTAAAATTTTAAGGCTGCAATATTCAAATCTAAAATTAACAAATATATATAACTAATATATAGATAAATGACCTGTTCATTTAAGAAAGGATAAGTTTAAAGCAGGGGTCTCCAAACTACGGCCCGCGGGCCGGATGCGGCCCGCGAGGTCCTCTCATCCGGCCCGCGGAGATCTTTTTGTCCACGGAAAAAAACGTTTGTTAGTGATGGCTGAGGAACTTTGCCCAGAAAAATCAAAGACATGTCTGGAACTAACTGGCCCCCGAACTGAAAATTGATAGTTGATGCGGCCCTCGGACTGAAAAGTTTGGAGACCCCTGGTTTAAAGCATACTGAATATTTTCTATCAACTTCAGAATTCTAAAGCCATATTGAGGTGGCCCAACTGACAATTGGTTATTAGTGTACAGTTAAGATAACCATATTAAGCTTATATCGATTATGATATTAATTAGTTTATCATGGTAAATCGTTACCAAAACATAACATTGGGTAGGGTTAGAAATAAGGTAAGGGATGTTTATGGTTGAGGTTATGGAAACGGGAAATAACCAAGCTCCATTTATTTTTTAAATAACAAAATTGAATTGTCTCCCGTCTTATAGAAATTACAAATTTCTACTGTTAGACATGTTGACAGAGGTAAAAACATTGCGAATAAAGTTATAGATCTGATATATAAAATACATTTCAATATTATTTTAACTGATCAATTTGTATAGCGATTCAATAAGTCAATCACTTCAAGATTCTATTAATTAGCAAACTAATTAGTATAATATAATATGACATAGTAGGGGTGGGATTTTAATGGGTGTGTAGAGAGCAAAGTTTCTTCTAGGCATCTCTTCGGGGGGGGGGGGGGGGGGGGGGGAACTGTGCGGCCCCCCCCCCCCCCCAAACAAGATGGATTTTATATAGTAAACATACACTTTTACTAGAGTCCACCCCCCCCCCCCCCCGGAGAAAAAAGTCCGGGGGTGAGGGGTAAAAAAAAAGTCGACTTTAGTGATTTGACGTCACGCTTTTTTACCACAAAAGGATTTCGAACTAGCCGGCCATTCCTCTTCCCTTTGTTTTATTTCCTTAAGGGTATATCTTTTAATTTTTTAATTTCAAAATTGCAGACTGTTTCAAAACTCAATTGATGTGGCCTGTCAATGCTCGTGTCTGACACTGATTATAGATACCGGTGTCCGATAATGGAATCTATTTTTAAAAAAAGGGTTGTTAGTAGTATTGTAATCTCGACTAATTTTATGGTAAGAAATTAGGGTTAGGCGTATGGTAGAACAAGGGTTGTGGTTAGGGTTAGGGACGGGATTACCCATGTGACATTAGCCAGCCATGTGTGTATTTAGTTAAATAATAGTAACCTAACACCCCGTTTTTAAAGAAGATTCTTTGATACCTGTGTCCTATAAGGGGTCATCCATAAATGACGTCACGCTTTTTTGACGATTTTTACCTCCCCCCTCCCCTACGTCACACGTCGTCACAAAAAGCCAGACCCCCCCCCCCTAAAATGACGTCACATCTCAGCCTACAACCCTCCTCAAAATTGCTGTTGAATTTTTCTTAAAACATCGATATTTTTTCCAAAATCTTAGCTGAACTCTGTCAAAATAGAGTATTTTAATAAATTCCTATTACTATTTATTAAAACAGTTTTCTAAAACGCTAAATAACGGCTACAACTGGTTTTCTAACATTGTTATTTTTATAATGCAAAAAATTGACCCCCCCCCCCCCTCCCCCTCATCACACACCGTCACAAAATTACGGACTCCCCCTCTCCCCTACGAGTGTGACGTCATTTAAGGACGACCCCTAATACTCCTCTAATGGGCCTATTAAAAGGGGGGTATTTAGTTCCTTTTGTAAACGACACACTAACCCGAACTATCTCAGAAGTTTTGATGGTCACACACTGATTGATCGTTCACTAGCTTGACTGTACTACACGGGCTTTGAGAAATGACCTGGTCGCTACAGCTAGAGAAGAAAGTCACCTGACCGTGACACACTCAACACAAACAACGATAGGTGAGCTGTGTAACATTTTTTTGACTGAGCTATTTAAAAATTTCAACGTTAGCCTATTGATAAGGATGTTTAGGTTTGATCTCCCTGTTGAGCCTCGTCTCACCGAATGATTTACACATCAGGGTGGTTGACTGTTTGTGTGTGATGTTGGATTTGACTCAATTTACGTTAACACAAGTGTGACAAAGCTGAAACACATACCTTTGTCTTTATACCGTACTTGCAGGTAAATAAATGTATTGGCTATAATGTGCCCTTTGAATTTGATCGATTAGACTGAATTAACCTTAGTGTGGCTTTATTGTTATAAGTGCTGACTAATGGTTTTGCGCGATCTAATGCATATTACTAATGTATTGTTAGTTCATAGCATGTTTGTCCAGGATTAAAACAGCGCTAAATATTGTCTTACTTGAGTGGACGCACAATGATCTTGGCTCAATTACCTTTAAGCTTGTTTTAATTATTCGTTATGACGAAGCGAAATCTATGCGTAAACATTTTATAACAAAATGGGTGAGTCAATTTAAGATACAGATGAGTGCCCGGCATGCCCCCCCCCCCTTTCTGTAATCGAGACTATATTTTTAATCACAGAAGTGAACTGCATCTGCTAAAGAAGAGTTTAGATTGGCTGTAAACATAACTGTAATCTCTTACACTGTTAAATGTTAAAACTCTAACCTGTTTCATTCTTTTTTTTGCAGATATTCAGTTAGTGAATGCATGGCAGTGAACTCCAAGGGATTAAAAGTGCCTGTCAAAATAGTCTTCTGATCTAACAGATGTATCAAGTCTTGTCTGTGCGGCTATGAATTGTGACAATACTACTAACAGCGACCTTATTAAGACAGCGCAGAAAAGGAATTTGGAACTTTTTCTTTCGACAGCAACTGAATCACACGTACTGAAACCAGTTTCCTGCTTCACTGAATCGCCTCGCGTGAGTAAACCTGGTATAGTTCTCAAGGAAATTTCCATGCAGGTTCCTGTACACGCAGTGAAAAAGGAGACAGACATTGGGGACTCGTCGTTGATTGTCTTGAACAAAATGTCCGAAAGCGTTGAAAACACTGTCGCAGCAGAAAGCGAAACAAGAACTTGTAACGACGACGTCGGGGCAAACGATCTTCAGCAGGTGGCAGTAAAAAATAATTGTTCTTCTCTCGTCGCAGCATCGTCATGCCCCAGAAGAACCAAGGCCTCGTCGTATCGACCCTGTCAGCCCAGGACCTGTGAGGCGTCAGGGTGTTCTACCAGCGTCTGTATCGTGACGCCCGAGCCACGTCTTGGTGCCTGTTCCGGCAAAACGCGACGCGGATGCGGAACGAATAATACGTTCTCAAGGTGCAGCAGGTCAGCTGGTGCCAGCAACTCTGCTAATTCGGTAGCCATAGGAACCTGCGTCAAGGTCAAGGCGATTCAGGACAAGTATCGCCCTGCTGGTCAAAGCGAAGTCCAGCACTTTACGGCTATAGTCATGTACGAGTCTGATGACGGCCACTACAAGCTGGGCACCAGGAAGGGAATCCTGGGAAGAATGTTCTCGAGGGATGAGCTCATCTTCACGCCCAAGGTCGGGATGACCTTGAAGGACGTACCAGAGAGAACTGTATCAATGCTAGAGGCCAGCACAATGTCGTATTAGATCTTTATGTGGACATTGTTATATCAGATCTTTATGCGGACAATGTTGTATTAGATTTTTATGTGGACAATGTTATATCAGATCTTTATGTGGACAATGTTGTATTAGATCTTTATGTGGACAATGTTATATCAGATCTTTATGTGGACAATGTTGTATTAGATTTTTATGTGGACAATGTTATATCATATCTCTATGTGGACAGTGTTGTATTAGATCTTTATGTGGACAATGTTGTATTAGATTTTTATGTGGACAATGTTATATCAGATCTTTATGTGGACAATGTTGTATTAGATCTTTATGTGGACAATGTTGTATTAGATCTTTATGTGGACAATGTTATATCAGATCTTTATGTGGACAATGTTGTATTAGATTTTTATGTGGACAATGTTGTATTAGATTTTTATGTGGACAATGTTATATCAGATCTTTATGTGGACAATGTTGTATTAGATTTTTATGTGGACAATGTTGTATTAGATTTTTATGTGGACAATGTTGTATTAGATCTTTATGTGGACAATGTTGTATTAGATCTTTATGTGGACAATGTTGTATTAGATTTTTATGTGGACAATGTTGTATTAGATCTTTATGTGGACAATGTTGTATTAGATCTTTATGTGGACAATGTTGTATTAGATCTTTATGTGGACAATGTTATATCATATCTCTATGTGGACTATGTTGTACAAGATTTCTGTGATTGTTTAAGGCCAGCACAATGTCGAATTAGATGTTTATGTACACAATGTTGTACTAAATTTCTGTGATTGTTATAGGTCAGGAAACGCTCGTTAGATTTTTATGTGGATAATGTTATGTGAGATTTCTGTTTAAAGCCAGCACAATGACTCATTGTAACATTGTGTGGATAAAGTTGAATTATTTCTTTATTTCCTATTTTTGTTTTTGACAAAAGTGCTATACTTTTTATGGGTGCTATTAGTAACATTATGTAGCTTCAATTTCTCAGATTCGTAAATAATAGGTTAAACAAACAGTAAAAAAATAACTTAATATTTTAAATTTCATTCATCTTAAACATTAAAGCAAATTGTTTTGGCATCGCTATATAAAATAACAATCTTTATAAAGTGCTGCTATATTTTAAATACACGGTGAACGAAGTTATGCTTTCAAGATTAATTATAGCAACAGCCTTCACTTTTTATTTTTTTATGCACCGTTTATTTGTTGCATTTTTCAGTCTTTTCCCGATTTAAATTAAATTCCATGGTTCAAATAAACTGTTTGAATTTATTGTTTCGACTTGTAAATTTATTTTTCATACATCCATCAACACAGGTTCATATTATCATACTTGAAAACTATTCGGCTAGTTCTAAACTTGTGAATTGTTCTGGTGAATGGTTTCAATTAACGTTAAGTACTTTAATAGATGAAATTAAATAAAACAGCTTCAAATCTGAGTAAATTTAACTAAAGTTAAAGACAAAAATTAATTGGTGAGCTCGAAACACATAACTAATTTATTAAGAAACAAATCAAAGTAATTGGTATTAAGATCAATCAAATCTACTATTTACATATGATGTTGGTCGAGTTAGAGGGAGGTGGTGTTCAAACGAAATACATTGAACCTGTCACTCTTCATGAAGAACGGAACATAAAGCAGTAAAGTTGGTTTTCAATACTCGCAGCGACATGAGAAGTACTTTTTAGGTTGTCTTTTTTTTTAGAGACCTTCAGATTTACACACATTCAATTGTAATTAGGCTGTAGAGATACAACAGGTTTAAAAATAATGTACTTACACCACAATAACATGCCTTAATGGCTGTTAAAAAACTATTGTAGCATGTGGTATTATTTACGAATACTAAATAAAAATCGCCATTTTTGCTGATATTTCCATAAAGCACGGTGTAGGTTAAAACAAAATTCATGAACAATAACAAATGCAGATGATGAAAAAAGAAAATGATTTTTTTCACTGCAAAAAAACTACTCATACACTCTAAGCACGGCCAGGTTCAAATGCTCTTACATCAACGGTAAGGCTTGGTTAATGTCTATCAATGCCTAACCAAATTAATGAATTTTCTAATTCAACTAGAACAGTAAACAAAAAAAGCCGGGCATCTAACCTATTTACCTATCTCCCAAACATTTAGGAAATGTAAATAATTTATTATAATTATGATATATATAATGAAAAAGTAATTTTATGACAGATATTTTTACATCAAAAAATGAACCTCTTATTTGTAAAGCCTTTGTTATTTGATGTCACGCTTCAAAACTTTGCAAGATATCACAGGAGACAAATTAGAACTGTCGATATGTTCATCTTGTCACATGCATTGGGGCCACATTGTTGCTTTTACTCTAAGCAGCTGCCCAGAGAGGCACGTGCGAGTTGTGACCTGGGTGAGTAGAAAGCGTAGAGTGGCGTGAAGATGAGTTGACCGAGAGTGTGCTCTGTGTCGTCCTTGTCCTTGATGCTGACACGCCCAAACAACACGCACTCTTCGTAGCTTGGTTTACCTGCAACACACAACACATGCACTCAGTTCGTTGACGCCAGAAAATGCATAGTTATGGTTTCCAGAGCAAAAAAAATCTGACATGTGTTAGATTTTAACATGTGTGACACCGTGTTTTATATATATATATATATATATATATATTTATTTATTTATATATATATATATATATATATATATATATATATATATATATATATATATATATATATATATATATATATATATATATATATGTATATATATAATTCTCACACAGATAAAACAAACAGCGATGATATACTATATTCACATAGGTCAGAATACAGTTAAAATATAAAATATTCACATAGGACAGAACACAGCAAAGATATGGTATACACACATACGTCAGAACACAGTAAAGATATAAAATAGTCATATAGGTCAGAACACAGTTAAGATAAAAAATGTACACTAGAGCAAACGTTGGATTAGCGCCAAGATTAGAGAACTTGACGTGTCTTTTTCCCCCTTAAGCTCTAGCATAAATATCTACTACCGATACTCATCTGTGCTAAATGAATTTGCTATCAATTACAACTCTTATCGAGCAGCAAGTAGAAATTTAGGCAATCAGATGGCCTGAAGCTAGAAATCCCTTGTACTCAGGAAGTATCACATTTAATTTACACTCCTTAGTATAATAGCTATGCACTTTTTGGAACATAATGATAAACAGCTCCTAAAAATAATAAAAATTATGCTATAAAATTCAAGGCAGGCAGAGGCATCCATTGTATAAAGTATATAAATAAATAACATAATTCATAATCAATGTGACAACCAGAATTACTGCGACTGGTTACACGCGACTTATTGACGCCACCGATTAACAGCACCTTCCATCATCACTAGTATACATTCAATCTTATGGTAAGTACAGGGGCGTAGCGAGGGGGGGGGCGGGGGGTGCGGACCGCACCGGGTGACACCATTTAGGGGGGTGACACCAAGGCAAAAAATAGCAAAATATATAGAGAAAAACTCGAGGGGGGGGGGTGCAAATCGAAAGCTTGACGGGGGGGTGCAAATCGAAAACTCGAGGGGGGGGGGGGGTGCAAATCGAAAGCTTGAAGGGGGGTGCAAATCGAAAACTCGAGGGGGGGTGCAAATCGAAAACTCGAGGGGGGGGTGCAAATCGAAAATTTGAAAGTTTGTCCCTGGGAAGGGTCTCTATGCCTCTGGGGGGGTGACACCATTAAGTGCCGCACCGGGTGACACCCGACCTCGCTACGCCACTGGGTAAGTATATTCCTAATTTAACGGACCAGAAATTAAGTATATTTTTATTGGACCAGAATATAAGTATATTTTTAGTTTTATGGGACCAGAACTCAGTGGTGTTTCTTACCGTTGCTCTCGGCGTCTTTCTCTGCCGGTGGTGACGTGGCGTTAACGGTCTGGTAGTTGGTCAGGGCGCGGGTGGCGGTTATCTTGGCTGCCAGTGGGAGGGTTCCAATAATTATTTCATCTTCGTAGTCAACCTCGTCCCACGAGCACCGGGCATCGGATCCAACTCGGAACTGACATTTACCATAAGTAACAATGAAAAATTAATAAGCTGGGCTAAAATAGATGTTTAGCTTATGTAAAGTTATAATTAGCTAGCTTGCGTAAAATATTAATGAGTGAGTTTATGGTTATTAACCGAGTTGTGTTCTAATGTTTGGTATACAGACTAGGTTTTATTCTAATGTTGCTATATAAGAAGTTGTTATATTGTAGTGGTTGTTTTTTTTTTTAAATTAATAGTTTCCTTTTACCGGATATTTTGCGTTGCTACATAGGTCTACACTTTTCGTACACAAAACTATAACCTCCACCCACTATCATGTTTAGCAATCTGTACAGGGGCGATAACCCAGCTGAACGGGACCAATAATTCGCGATCTATTTAAGATTTGCTACGGCTCCCGAACTGACTTGATTATAATTAAATGATACGCCCTGACGCTAAATCTAATTTTCGTGTACAAATGATAATTCATTTCTTCTACTCAACAGCATAGTGTTTTTTTCATATTCTCTCGTGCGTCTATTTATAGATGACAGGCCTTTAAAACCTTTTTATTTTGTAAAATCTTGCATGGGCTGAGGGCTGATGAGGTGTGGAGGGGGGGGGGGGGTGGCGAGAGCTGGGGTGAGGAGGGAGGTCTGGCCATTGTTCGTGTAACAAAGAAGCTTCATCTCATAGATATCTTATAACAAAACTTCCAAGTTTCCTCAACTAGTTTTATGTTTCCTTTTCCCTAAGACTTGTGAGATTAGTATGTATATTTATTATTTGAAAAAACATATCTTGTGAGTAGTAAATGATATCCTTTTCACTAACGATATTTTAATTGGAATCGGTGTATAAAACATTTTATACCGTCTGCGCAAATGTACCTTTTCGCATTCGAGGTAAATGTCTAACGTAAGGGGTCGTACATAAATGTCGTCACACACGTAGGGGAAGGGGGGTCCGTAATTTTGTGACGGTGTTTGATGAGGGGGATGGGGGGGGGTTCAGATGGTGCGACGTCACACTTTTGTATTAGAAAAAAGCAATGTTAGAAAACTAATTTTAGACGTTATTTCGCGTTATAGAAAATAATAATAATTATTAATAATTTAATAAATTGTAATAGGAATCGATTATAAGACTCTATTTTGACAGAGTTCAGACAAGATTTTAGAAAAATATCGATGTTTTAAAAAGAATTCAACTGCAATTTTGAGGGGGGTTGTAGGCTGAAGTGTGACGTCATTTTAGGGGGGTCTGGGGTTTTGTGACGACGTGTGACGGAGGGGAGGGGGGGGGGAGGTAAAAATCGTCAAAAAAAGCGTGACGTCATTTATGGATGACCCCTAAAGCAAACGAAAGATAGTAATATTTGTAGCTTCATCTCTACCACTTGGACTCCCTATCCACTCACTAAACACTGCTATCCCACAGCCAACAGTGTATACACTATTTTTTTTTGTAAGCAGTGTTGTAGCACCAGTATTATTCTTTTAAATATTTCAAGAGCATATCTGGGCGATTTCATTAACCAAAAGACATTGACATCAATATGGGCGCCTTCAGTAACTTTCATTATTTTGTTATTTTGACTTACTGTCCCTAGATTATTTTAATTCTTTGTAGTAGATTTTGATTGAAAAAGATGTCACTGTCATGAAAATGTACCCAACCCCCCCACCCCCACTACAACCACCCGACTACGCCTTTACAAAAGTCTTTGAACCACTATTAAACGTCTCATAAAAACTATTAAACTTCGGTGTAGGAGTTTGGGTTAAAGCGACGTTTCCCAAGGCACAAACTGAAGTCGCTGGATAGGAGCCAAGTATAAGGTAATAAAATAACACGCTACTACCATAGTCGTGTGTTTAGTCAAGGCATTCATCTGATTGTCTAAGGTTTTGTGAAGGCGCGTTAATATTTATTCTACACTAATTCTAAAGAGAATACTTTGTACGCAGTGTTATGAGCAATTTTTAAAAATCGTTTTAGTAATTTGCATGAAATGTTTAAATGCGAAATGTACATTATTTTATTGACGCTAGACCGATGAAGCCACGGAATTTGTTCTGAAACTCGCGCTCACCTGTAAAAGATACTGCGATTTCATCAGCTTGCACCCTTTCAGGTGGGACGGGGGTAGTGGGGGGATCCTCATCTTGTCGTTCCATGTGAAGGTTTTGCCCCGCGGGATGTGTTCCTTGTAAACGGTGCTGACGACTTTTTTCTCCTGTTTAAATTTTCCCCCTGCCATGTAGGTAATATGCTGGTAGAAAACAAAGCAAGGTAAAATCGGTCAAATTAAAGACAAACACTGATCAAAGTAGAATAACTTTAACTGTTACTGCTTTTATTTTTATTACTAATTAATACAAATACTGGCTTGGGTTTTATGGCATTACATAGTTAAATTTTCTTTTAAGGACTTCACAAATAATTTCCGAAACACTTCATCTAGCCCTAACCTGGCGTCTAAGTCACAACCCCTAATTTATACGAGTTCTGAGTGGGTCATTAACCCCTAGCTTTTGTGGCATTAAGAAAGTTTAGAACATCGACTTCCTCTTTACGTTATAATCTCACATGTCCTAGTGTTGAATCTTTTGTTCTATAGAGTTCAACCAGTACACGACGTTGCATCACTACCAACAATACGTCAAACATACTAACATATATCCTTTTTTGTTAATATAAACTACTTTTTTAGCGGTTTGTTTTAATACTTTAAATCATAAAATGTCTTGGAGGATGCCTGACGTTGATGACGTTGCAGTTGCTTGACTTGAATGATGGCTGACGTAGTTTCTCACTAAGCTTGATGCCAGCATAAAAATGTTGTGTGCGAAGCCATGTTTTATCCTGTGTTTAAACCCAATATGTTGGCTTTATTATGTTTCTCCTTAACCTGGGTCTAGCTTGTATCTGACCTGTCTTGGTTTTTGTCTGTATCAGTCTCGTCTAAAACGTGGACGATATCACATAATCCAAGATGGTGCCAGTCTTGGATCAGTTTTCCACTGGGGCTGCCTAACAACTCATAAAAACGGTCTTTTGTTTCGTTTGCTTACCACAGTGGTTTACCTAGCAGGGCTGGATGGGGGTGGGGGTGGGGGAGGAACCAGGCAGGAGCGATAAACAGCACTTGAATCATGGGTGGTCGCACAGCCCCTCGTATATTTTGTAAGTTATCTCTAAACAGTCTTGTTTGATTGCTGCATTAACTCGATTTTTTTTAGGTTTTATTGTAAGAATAATATACATAGAAGCCGTAGAACGTTATTACGATTGCTTGGTGTAGATGTAGTAAAATAAATTGTTGTGGGTCAACATCCGTTGATACATGTAGTCGCCGCCTACAATAAAGTTGGAAGTCATTTACCATCTATTCAACTGCTAAATGACGTCACCTACCGTTCATTGGATTATTTAATTGCATAAGTGATTAACTACCACATTTATTACGTCGCATAGCATATACATTGGACGCAATAACCTACCAACGATCTAATAGCTCACCATTTTCAGCTTGACCTCCGCCCAGCACGTTGACCCGCTGTGGTTCTCTATCTGAGAACAGAGGCTGATCTCCGAACCCGGAACGAATCCCTTCCGGTTGGTGGTTATAGACCCGCTAAACCGCCCTGATGGCAGGCAGCAGCAGCCCGTTCTTAGCTCACCCCTGTACTGGATAGGCTCCTGCAAAAGTGGGAGAAATTTAACATAGCCAAAACCACATTCTACAATATTTTGAAACCATTATTAAGTCTTAAATACACATGAATGAGCTGTTGCGTTAACAAATAATTATTAACATCTAAGGAGAGGCACAAAGTAATGTTCTTAGCCTAGGTCAGCGCTCGGTAATTTCAGTTATCTAGACGATTGCGACTCTTTGATACAATTAATAACGCCGCCTTACAAAAAAACGTGACACAAATCCGCAAAAGAAACCATGTCTTTAAGATTTTCAATGTGTGCTTGAAAATTATTAGAACTTTATGGGCTGTTCTATAAATAAGAATTAGAATGGATAATTACTGGTAAAAGGGTGGCGACATTTGCCAGTTGAGTAAAATGTAAAACATCATCTGTTTCACATAGCTGTCTAGTGAATAAAGGTTTTGTTTTAAAATGCATTGCAATGCCGTATGTTATCAGTATTTTGTTTGGGGAATAGGGGAGGGGACAAATGTTTACAGCTAGACCAGGGGTCGGCAACCTTTTGAAGCAGTAGAGCCAAAAGTTACAATTTTCAAAATGTCCCTGGTTTTAAAGAGCCACTAACACTTTTTTATTTCAAATATTTTATTTTTTTTAATTAAGATTATTAGTATTTGTGCTGGAGAGCTGCAACTTGATATCAAAAGAGCCGCATGCGGCTCGCGAGCCGCAGGTTGCCGACCCCTGAGCTAGACTAGTTACGGTTTTCCCACTTAACGAACGAGAAGTGTTTATCGTTTATCTTTATTATCTTTCCTCAAACTCACTGGTTCTTTTAATAAGAGATACACATATTACAGGGCTGACGGTGCTGGTTTTTCTTATAACAGTAATCCCATAATTCAATGCGCAGCAGAGCGGATCATCTTTCTCTCCATCCTTCTCGCTAATTCCAGTTTAGATTTGCGTAACTTTCATTCTGTTTTGACCCCTACAAAATTACACATAGATCCTGTGCTTACGTGTTTTCACAATATAAGAATTCTCACCTATTTACATTCTTAAGAATCCTGCACTGGGCGCTCTTACAACAAAAAACCATGTAGTTTATTAGATTACCAGGATCAAAGCTACAATAATTATCCACACTATTCACGCGAGCGTTCTTGTCTCTAAGCCCTGATTGTGGTTTGGCAAAGCTGAAGTTACATGTAAAGAGCCCTTAACTTTTTACAGTCAGGGTTTGGCGAATTACCGTTCACCGGCTCGCCACTTATGCGAGTGCTTTGAATTCTTAAGAACATAATGGATGTCTGGGCAGTGGCGGAACTAGAAAAAAAAGGCCCCCCCCGCAGAATTTTTTTTGGGCCCCTATATATATATATATGTAACGAGCGAACAGTTACCCTGCTCGCAACGCCACATGTTACGAGACTATTTGCCTGTAGTGCCAAATGTAACGAGTTTAACCACTCATGCTACACAACATCGACTACAGTAGAAAGACTCGAAGATGCAGGTTCGCTATTGATCCTTTTATTACATGAATCAAGAAATGCTTCAATATAACACAATGAATCAACAGGAATGCTTCACAATAATAGTCTGAATCAACTGACCCCTAACAGTCCTCACTAGGCTTCATATAACTGAATCCACATGTCTATTGTCCTTCTTAACACAATATAACCAACTTGATATGTCACACAGACTGACTGATCTAAAGCGAGCGATCGAAAAGGGAAGAGCTGCGAGTTCAGTCGTCCCCTCCTATTTATCCCTTGTATTCGTACTCGTCTTCGTACTTGTATTCCTCCGTAATCGATACTTGTACTCGATGTCTCCGACTACTAGTTGCGCAGTTCTAACGTACAGTCCGTTTAATAAACATCTGCATCCTATCAATCAAAGTTGACAGGCCGTCTGAATCCCCTCGTACCGTTTCCCAAAATAGCACGCGTTGGCTTTGAGATTGTTATCAGTCCGATCTAATAAGCCACCTGCTATCGGTTGCATCAGACTGTAATACTGCGTCTCGGCTTATCGTTCGTTATCAGATTTGTAACTAGTAGCTAGGCCTACCCTAGTTACATCCACCCCTGCCTTTTTTTGTGTGTTTTCAACCACAAACAACGCCTGGCAGGTGCACTCCTCCAAAGTCAATCGCACAATCGTAACAAATTTTATTGTTCCACTCACTGTCCACGTCGTCCCATTCGTATACGATTGACAGTTATACCTATTTCACATATCAACTGTGTCTATATCATCTTCCTGAGACACAAAACAGTTCTAGAATTCACATCCACCCTTTCCATTTGGTGTCTTCACCAGTTCACTTTTATAGCTTTTTTTTAACAGTCTGTTCTCATACCAGCGCGACCATGAAAGAATTGATGGTTGCTGACAAAAAAATTTCGTCTTCCTTCTGTTCCTCAAACTTCTCCGCGGACCACTTATCTGATGGTCTACTGTCTCTCTGCTTCTGGAAGGAACGGGATCCTCTTTGTTGCCGTTATCCTCCACTTGTGTATCGCGGTTGTTCTGTTGATGGTGATATGGTTCCGGGATGGGTATGTGAATTTCCGTTGTAACTTCCGGTTCCCTAATTGTCTTGGATTTCCTTGTGTGTAACTGCTCTTCTTGCCTATTCCAATATTTCTTTAATTGAGCAATGTTCGCCCACCGATCCGGTTTGGCGTGATCGATGGGTCTTATCTTAAAGGGGCCACCTGCTACTTTAGGCATCTCCACGACTTGCCATATCTCCTGTCCCCAGAGATCGTGGATTTTGTTTCTGCCTAACGGGTGGCTACGCAGTAATACCCTGTCATTCAGTTTGAGTGGCGGGTCCTTTGTCTGTACCGGCGGTTCCCTTCGCCGAGATTCATGTTCTAGTCTTTCCTGTACTACCCTGTACATTTCTCTAATTCTTCTCATATGTTCATTCACATATTCCAGTGCGGTGTATGAGCCAGTCATACTCTCCTTTTTTCCTAGGAACAAGTCAAGAGGGAGTCGAGCCTCCCGTCCGAACAGCAACATGTGTGGCGTAAAACCGGTTGTGGCATGGGGTGTGCAGTTGTATAGATATACCAACTCTGGGAGAAAATCAGGCCAACGTTTTTTCTGTTCAGGTTCTAGCGTACGCAGCAAATCATGCATGCTGCGGTTGAACCGTTCACACTGTCCGTTTCCTTTCGGATTAAATGTGGTTGTTCTAGATTTGTTGATCCCGTAGTGGCTGCACAGTTGGTTAATTACTTCTGACTCGAAAGCCCTTCCTTGGTCAGAGTGTAATTGTCTTGGTATGCCATATTTGATGAACCAATGTTCTATTAAGACCTTTGCCACTGTTTTGGCAGTCTGATCTCGTGTGGGCACCGCCACAGTCCATTTGGTGAAAACATCAGTCATTACCAACACATGTTCCGTCCCATCCGATGATTGCTCCAACGACGTAAAGTCCATAGCCACAATCTCTAGTGGTTTTGTCGCTAGTAGGTGTCCTGATGGCTGTCTCATTTTGACAACTGGCATTTTCGCATGCTGACACCTCACACAAGCCTCACAATGGCGTTTGACCTCCATTTCCATATTGGGCCAGTAACACCTCCGTCGTAAAATTTTGTGCGTCCTGTCCTGACCCTGGTGTCCTGCCCTGTCATGTGCCAACCTTAGCACTTCTTCTCGTAATTGTCCAGGCACCACCACCTGGTGTATTGTCCCATCAATTTGGTCATGAATTCTCCGCATGAGAACACCATCCTCTATACTGAGACGGTCCCACTGACTCAGTATTTTCTTTGTTTCTCGACCAAATTGTTCTCTTTCCCTTCTTCCTGGGAATTTTTGTTCCTGGACGTATTTCAATAGCGGTTGTAAGCCACTATCCGTTCTCTGGGCATCTCTTATCTTTTTGTGATTAAGGCAATTAAAATCACTACTGTCCATATGTCCGGGCTCTGTGGATATGTGCTCCACCCCGGTCTGTCCGTTTTGCATCACCTGCACCCCATGAGGGATATCTGTTGACGCTCTGACCTCACATATTCCTGTCAGCGTTTCTTCCTCATCACCCGGTCTCTCGTAAGGATTCCTTGATAAGGCGTCCGCATTGCCATTGGACCGCCCCGGGCGATATTTTATCTCCAGGTCAAAGAGTGCCAATTCTGCTGCCCATCTCTGTTCGATGGATCCCAACTTTGCTGTCTTTAGGTGACTCAGGGGGTTATTGTCAGTGTATACCACACATTTAGCACCTAATAAATAGTCCCTGAATTTTTCAGTCACAGCCCATTTTAATGTCAAAAGTTCTAGTTTCATGGCGCTGTAATTTGTCATGTTCTTCTCTGATCCCTTCAGAGCTCGACTGGCATACGCAATAACCCTGAAACCTTGCTTTTGTTGTTGTGATAGCACAGCTCCCAGACCTTTAGAGCTGGCGTCAATTTCTAGCCGAAATGGTTTGTCAAAGTCTGCGTATCCTAATATCGGCGCCTCTGTCAAAGCCTTTTTCAATAGCTTAAACGAGTTCAGGCATTCATCAGTCCATAATTCACCTATCCGGTGTGTTTTACCTTTCTTTTTCTCCTTACTGTGTTTCTTTGTCATTTTGTTTACCAAGTCATGCAATGGTGCGGCAATTTTTGCAAAACCAGGTACAAATTTTCTATAATAGGAAGCAAAACCCAAGAATGACCTGACCTCTACCGTAGTTGTTGGTTGTTTCCATTCTTTAACAGCTGCAATTTTATCTGGGTCAGTGGCGATGCCATCCGACGAAATCACATAACCCAAAAAATGTACCGATTTTAGACCAAAGCAGCATTTGTCTGGGTTCAGCTTTACTCCTATCTCCCTAAGACGGAGAAACACTTGTTCTAATCTTTTTAGATGGTCCTCCCAAGTTTTTGAGTAAACTAGAATATCATCCAAGTACACCAACATTATTTGAAATAGAAAGTCACTCATAGCACTCTGCATTACTCGCTGGAATGTAGCAGGTGCATTAGTCAAACCAAACGGCATACGGG